AATAAATCTGCAAAAATGTCAACGATTCTGTGTTTTTCTGTCAGTATGGGGTGCTGTGTGTACATTAATGAGGAAAAAAAATTAACTTAAATGATTTTAGCAAATGGCTGCAATATAACAAAGAGTGAAAAATTGAAGGGGGTCTGAATACTTTCCGTACCCACTGTATACCCCAGGGTTATTATAGTTAACAAAAACTAAAACCATACAAAATTTGTTAAAATAAGTTTAATTTCAGATAGTTGACAAAGCAACATTTCTCATTTTTATTTTAGTACATTTAACTTGATGTACTGAAATAGCTAAAGCTGAAATACAAATTAATTAAAATTATATAGATTTTTTTTTAAATTATAACATTTTAAAATCAAAAAAAAATATTAATTTTTTTAAATTAATAAAAAAAGATTACCAAAACTTTACCTGAAATAAAAATAGAAGAAAAAAAAAACCGCTAAATAAAAATATTATATAATAGGATGACAAAAATACTAAAACGACACTGATATGCACTATATTACATATTAATGATATTTTTAATTAACCTGTTAGTAATATATCTTATCTAATACATGTTCATGTTTTTACGTACACTTGAATAAATCTCTCATGAAAACAAGTTATTACAGCCACTATTTAAATTTCTTATATTTCAAAGACAAATTGGATTAGAAACAATTATATTAAATACATAACCCGCCTTATGTGCAGTTTAAATATTTGCATATGAATTTTTGAGTGTTGATTATTACTCTACTGAAATTTTGGCTCTGTTGTTAATTCTAATCTTTAATATTACAGTAATGCTTCCCTGTATAGTTTACAGCTTTAGCCGAGATATTTCTATTTCCTTAAGAATCTAAACAAATCAATTTGATTCATAAAATCAAGTGTTCTATACACTAGTGTTTGCATTAAACCTTAGATCAGATTCTTTACTTCTCATAGCCACAATAAGCAAACATTAAACAATCTGGCTTTACATAATGTCACATCAGCAGCGTTTTTACTGTCCCACTGTATGATTTCACGAGTGAAATATTCACATCTGGACAGAAATCACTTCAATATTTCATCAAGTTTGGCAGAAAGATAGCATTGTTGATTGCGTCTATGACTGGCTACTTACCAATCCATTCTCTGACCTCGTTTTCAAGTCCAACTTGATAAGACCAAAACCTGCAAATGACACAGACAAACATCACTAACACACAAAACAACATGCAGCATTTCAGGTTTCACAGACACAGTCGGTTTTATTACAGTGTGAAATAGTCTTGAGTTTTTCCATGTCTGCTACAAGGAGTTTTAATAGAGTGCAACAGTCTAACGTACTTACAACATGTTTTTCAGCGTTGAGTAATATATCAATATATCAACAAAGTGTAGACAGAGTGTAAATAAGAGACTCATTGTGCAGTGTAAGGAGCTTCGTTGATTATAATGGAGTTTTGTGAGATCGCGATGAACTAAGATGAGTGACAGCTTTTAATGATTATTAAGGGAGTTCGTAAACGTGATATTGATTTAATACTAGAGGTCGACCGATAGTGGATTTTGCCGATACCGATAGCTAGGTTGGACCACACTGGCCGATACCGATTAATTAACCGATAGTTTTAAAATGGATACTGAACAAAAACTAAAATAGTGCTTTATTAACAAAAACAGTACTTAACCATACTAGTAGCAGTAGTAAAATAAAAAAGAATCATAATAATAGTAAATGTTGAAATTAACACTCTAACAAGGAACAATACTTACACAGCTTTCATTAATCTTAATGTTACAAATGGACTCTTATTTTAAAGTGTTACCATTTCATTTCAACTGTCATGCTTAAAGATGCACATCTTTAAATATATACACAAAGGCTATAGCATTAAAATTATATACATATGGATATTGTATGTATACTCTCAGACTTGAACTGCTTCTATTCTTGAACACTTGATGATTATCTAATCAAAATAAAAGCGCAGCGCTGAGTCTAGAACTCACCGGTATCACACACACTCCGGACGCATCGCGTTCAACTCGAGCAGCGGTCTAAAACAGTTTATTTAATCACCAAACAGACACAAGTTTACTTCAAGAATGAACACTTTGGTATAGATGAGTTTGAGGTTCGGTGTTTAAAAAACAGAGCAAACAGAAAGAGAAAACGTGACCTATATTATAGCTCTATAAATGAAGCACACAGACTTTATTAGAGCCACAGAAAGACAGACGTGTTGCTGAAAATGCACAATACACAATTCATTATGTACATTAACAACGATTCGGGACCAATATAATGTAATTTAATGGAAAACTATGTGAATGGCGCTCTGTGGCGCGGCAGGATTTTCTGTCGGCTGCATTTAAATCCGCGTCTGAAGTTTCCCGCTCTGTTCAGCGTGCAGTATCACGTGTCTAAACAAGTAGCACGTGCTGTCAGTGATTTCAACCACTAGAGGCCGCTCTCGCACTGTGTAATGACAGCAGACCCTTCTCAGCCGCTCCAGCAATGGACGCAACCCGGAAAACTATCGACATGGATTTTTGACGATAACCGATAGTTCCAGCAATCAACTATCGGTGCCGATTAATCGGCAAAACCGATACATCGGTCGACCTCTATTTAATACAACAGTTCATTAAACAAGAAGTGACTTATAATGTCTGACTACAACACTATTGCCTTATTTTGCTGTTTCATCAACGAATAGTTTCAAAGTCACAGCCGAGATGCTGCGCATCTCCATTCAAACACAGCGGTGTTTTGTTTATGAATGAACTGCGTTTTTAAATAAATCTAGTGAGTCAATGATTCATTATTACACATTGATAAAGACAGTCACGTACTTCGTTCCTGAATGAATCACCCGTTCAAACGAATCAATTGAATGAACGATTCAGTGATTAAATCAGTGACTTGCCGCCACCTACTGGCAGTTTCTGTTATTTAAATCGTTTAATATTTCTATATTCAAACTTTTATATTTAAAACATTAACATCAACATGAATTTAATTGCACTCATGCCGCCTCTGAGCCTCATTAAACGTCTGAAAATACACCTACAAGCCACTTGTGTGTTATTCTGTGCCACCTCTGTAGTACAAATGTATTTCTTAAATACTGATTTCATTAGATTGGTAGCTTATTCTTATTCCACTTGTTTTTATTAGAAATGTTAAAAAGCTTATAAATAGAATTTTTTGAATTTGACATAAAAGATGACATACTTTTAATATAAAGTTAGAAAAATGCCATTACAAAGGTAAAAACTAAATTCCCTGTACATTACTTTAAGGAGTCAAATATCACCTCGTAATGGGAAGATTCATTTTTGATCAGAATTTTGGATTATTGATTAGAAGGTGCTCCTACATTTTTGACTGTGCTCCTACATTTTTTAAATTAGGAGCACAAGCGCTCTTAAAAAAGAAAAATAAGCAAAGAGCCCTAAGTATTTCAATTTGTTTTTTTTAAATAATCATGTTTACCAGTGGAACTCCTGGTAAAAAAAAAAACACATTACCCATGATTCTACCAATCAGAGAAGCGAAATCACACCAAAATAACTCTTAAGCTCCGCCCACTGCCATAAAACACTGTGAATGATGTAATCAAGTCTCCCTGCACTCTCAAACCTATCTAAATGTGTAAAATATCATGTTCCTATATACTGTACATAATCTACACATTTAAATGAAATGAGTTTATTTTGATTATGGGATTGTAGTGCTTTTCCCTCACTAAAGCGGTTCACACTCTTGTCTTTTTGTCTGATTTTTAAATACGTTTGTAACATTGTGATTGGCGTCACAGATGGTTGGTTTGGATCATGTCTTATAACGCTTTAACAAAAACGTTTCCCTATTGGATAAATGAATGGTGTAATTCTGAAACAAAAGCTGCTGATAAAGTGGGTGGGCTGTTCTATATTGACTGACTGGTCACATGACGTTTAGGCCTCTGATGATTGGCTCCTGAAATGCCTGGTACATATGCCAGCAGCAAATTGAACAAATCACAAACGTCAATCATTCTGATTGAACATATCAATACATCAAACAAAATTAAATGGATGAAACAATATGAGGGGTTTTTTTAATGATTCGATTGTTGAGGTTTAACTTGACTTCCTCTACATATTGTTTCTGTGATATACATATATATGCATTGTTCTTTTTTCATATTTATGCATGCATGCACGCACATTTATTTATGCATGCACGCACATTTATTTATGCATGCATGCTGTGTGTGTATTCAGCTCTAATATAAAACCAGATGAATCCATACCATATCCTTTGGTGAAGATGTCCCGGGCAGACTTGCCCAGGTCTACATATGTTGGAGGAACGGCCATTGTCTGAAACACAGAGGTGAAGAAGGTCAGCCAGAGGAACAGATGGACTCCAGTCAGCAAATCATAATCAACAACACTGACTTTAATGAGGAACATACTGCATTTCCTAAATGTACGAAAGTCAAATGACATTCCACCTGCTTTCAAGTCTTCTGAGAGACCGTGCATGTAGAAATCCACATTGTGCATGCGAACATTTCTCCGAGAAGAAACTAGATGAGTGAGCAAAACACAATGCAAATGCTGATCTAGGCGTGAATGCATGCATGAGATGAGGATCACTGCACAGACCAGAGCCCAATGGCGCAGCTTTAGGCCTCTTTCAGAGCAGATCGAGCACAGAACCATCTTTCCACTCATGCAATGTTGCAATATTTCGTTTCGATCACCTGATGACAGCGTCGTACGTTTACACAGCACTTGCACGTTTGATTGCGCTAGCAGACACTCGATGCACGCTCACAAACACGGCAAGGGCATTTAACGTTAATGCATTAGTCCAGGCATTGATGCGCTGCATCTCCACTCACTACAGATTCTCGCTCGGTACTTTGAAGTGTAATGCAGGATAAATGTCTGACTTTTGAACCCACCTGTGTAAAGTCGTGAGGACAGCGCTGGGCAGGATCAGAGAGACGTGCAGCAGAGGACGACGCCAGACTCACGCGAGAGCGTCGCGTACGCAAACGACGCCACGCCTCTGCAGAATAATCTTGAGCATCGCCCCAGCAGATTCCACATCATCCGAGATCAAACTCTATCTGGATTTTTTTTTATTTTTATGAAGTTTAATTTGATTACCTCTTCTTATAATTTTTTTTTTTTGTATCATTATTTTTAAATCGTAGTTATAATTTACGCATCACCTCGAGATGAAACTACATCTGGATATTTTAAATTAGGGTTAATTTGTTTACCTCTTTTTTTTTCAATATAGGCTAACATAAGCACAACTGTAAATTCTCACAGATTGAGACATTCATATTAATCATACTATAACAGAGAAACAAACCACCATATAAGAAATTAATCAAAATAAAATAAAATAAAACACATTCATGCAACCATAAACAATGTAGGGGATTAAACAAAATCACACTTATTAAACAAATCAAATAATTTCTTGGCCTTATCACTTTACAAACATTACATTTGTGATTACAGTATTTTAATATAAGAAGTAATGTCGCCTACTCCAAATTTCAACATGTCCCAAGTAATAGATCCGTCTATTTCCGTCTATTTCGGTTATATATATATATTATATAAATATATATATATATATATATATATACATACACATACACACACATCAAGAACTGACTGGAATTGGAGTCTCCAAAAACACAGTTGGGCCGAAATGGTGGAAAAATTATTTTGATGGTATAATTTGCACTAATAAACATTGCTTTCAAGATTTCATTTTGACTTATTAATAAAGTAAATGCATGTGTTGAACATTTATGCCTACATGCCACTTACCATCACTTTTTTACTGTTAAATCACAGTAAAGAGTGGCATGTCATGGCTTATTGCTTCATTACATAGATAAAAGTCTGAACAACAAAAACAACAACAAAAAACAAGTAGTATTCGCCACCCATATGTCTGGATATGCCTCTTCTTGATAATTTGATTATCTTCTGCTTTGAAAGACACTGTCAGATTGTGTTTCTTGGAAAACTTGACGCTAGGGGTGGGCGATATAGCCTCTAAATTATATTACGATATTTCAAGAATATTT